CAACTGTCTCTTGGAACCAGTTCAGACGAAATGGAGGATAGTAGACAAGTAGGCATCTTGTTAACATGCTCATCAGGCGCAGCCACATCGGAGATGTCAAGCAACAGCCAATCACTGGAAGGGAGTATATTAAATAAAATTAACCGAATAAAGCATATGCAAATGCTGAGTTAATTCCACTAAATAAGGATATGAACTAAAGGTCATACATCACGTGTGTCTAAAAGAGGCGGCGGTCGAACTGCAAACTAGCAATGATCACGGGACGTGTATCGAAGTGGCCAAGTTCAAACATCACTCTCTCATGGTCAATTTTTGCTTAGTACGCACTGAAGAAATCACTTCGATTGGTGATGAAACATCTGCAACGCAATAGTTCGGCTCGGAGGACAGACCTAAACCTGAACAGACAACTCCAGCTACAGATATTCCGCTTTATTGCTTACCATTATGGGCGTTCGACGCTTCGCACTGCTCGCCGAGGGGAGGATTTCGCCTGTAGCCATGCGTCAACCTGGTAGGAACTTACTTTCCTCCATGACTGCGTGTGAAATGTCGTTTTTCCTTGAAGTGCCAACTACAACCCACCAATTAACCCCCCGCAAGCATGGGCCATTGCAAAACAATTTGGAAAACGTATGATACGAGTGATGATTGTGAACGCTCAAAATCGCGTCAAGAAATATGAGAGGTGCCTAAAAGAACACAGAGTTGCCTGACTACAAACCCTAGGATAATATCGGACAGAACAACTAAGCATAGCAATAGATCGCAGAACAGCACAGATTTGGGCGAAGAAGCTGACTACTTTTCAAGAAAAGTTGGCTAAATTAACCAACTGCAAGTGCGAAAGTGCCAATGATTCCTGGGTCAGAAACCTGTCCAGTCGGACGCTCAGTGATGCTGAGAGGCAAGTGCTGATCAAAGGGTTAAACTATAACTTCAAGGACACCGGATCCACGAAATTTCTTGCCTGATTCGCGAATGTTTTGCAATCCAATGGCTTTGACGAAGAGACGAAAACGCAACTATGACGTGTTGTCGTTCCATTCCTTCACATACCAGGCAACATGATTGTTTGTCACAGCAAAAGAAGAAAGTAATGAAATTCTTAAAGGCAGATGAAACTATCGTGATCCTGCCTGCGGTCGAAGAACGTACAACTGTTATGTTGGATAAAACAGAATACGTTGAACAGACAATGAACCTCGTGAACGACAGTACAGCATACCGTTGCTTGGAAACCGATCTAACAGTACACTTTACAAACAAAATATATAAGACTTTGAAAAGACAAAGATTCGAAGCAACTCACAAAGGAGAACCACGTTGTAGTGAAAGCTCGTGACTCAAACCTCGACCGATTCCACGGACTTCCGAAGGTTCACAAACCTGGTGTACCACTTCGGTCAATCGTGTCATTCCCTGGTACGCCCATCTACAATTTGGCTAAAGAAGTACGGAAGCGCCTTAAACATCCCTTATTCAGTAAACAACGCTCAGCAGTTTTTGATGAAGCTCCAAGGACTACGAATCGATCATATAGAAATAATGTTGTCCTTCGACGTTACTGCACTATTCACTTCTGTCAACTTACAAGTGGCGAAATAAAACATCAAAGAATGCCTGAATGTTGGCAAAGGAATAATTGGGAATCGGACGACTGGGAACATATGCGAGCTTCTCGACCTGTGTCTCGCGACGTACTTTAACTTCGATGAAGCATTCTATGAATAAGTGAAAGGAGCCCCAATGGGGTCCCCTATATCTGGACTTATTGTAGAGATCGTCATGCAAACGTTGGAGGAAAATCTACTCCCAGCCTTGAACCTGAAATTATGGGTCAGTTATGTTGGAGATACTCAAACGCAGCCAGTTGCAGATCGCACAAGGCTTCCAGAACGATACAATGGGCGGCATTCACTTCACCATGGAGTCAGAAATAGAAAATAAACTACCTTTCTTGGACGTACTGGTAACTAGAATAGCGGACGGAGAACTATGAATATTAGTTCAAACGAAAGACACACATAGATCAAATCCTAAATTTCAACAGAAACCGTCCGAAAGGTCACAAACTCAGCTGCATACAAACCTTGTTTCGCAGGATTGAATCACATTGTAATATTGAGGAAGCAAAACGAGAAGAAAAACCATCTGTTTAAATCCTTCATATGCAATGGATATCCACGCAGCTTCATTCGAAGATACATAAACTTCAAGCCTACAATTGCCACACCTGAACCAACAACGAAACCGATCGCTTTGTCCTACATCAAGAACGTATCGGAAATATCTGCTCGACTCCTCAAGTCTTACCACCTGTTGTTAGCTCTCATACCAATCGCTACTCTGAAAGCAACCCTATCTAGACCGAAGGGGAAGACGGGAGCCCATGGACGTCGGAATGTTGTCTACAGCATACAGTGTAAAAATTGTGATAGACACCATGGGGGCACAAACAGCGATCTAACTACAAACTCGTAATGGTCACGGGATGTGAATCTGTTAGAACCCGTGGCAGGCGGTAATTGTAATTACTAAAGTGGCTTACACTAGGTGTGTTCGTCCATACATTGGAGGCGTCCGCTCATCTGCGTGACTTCCATAGAGTGTTTCCCAACTGGTGCTCGCCTCTGTGTTTACTCCTCGTGCACATGGAACTGTAATCCTGAGGTCATCTTCAACTTTGGGGAAGTCGGCAAGGCTCGCTGTTGGTGTGTCAGCTTCCACCACACTACTTATATCCGGCTCAGTAGTATCTACCTTTAATCCACCACAAATCGAAGTGGCCAGGTTCAAACATCACTCTCTCATCGGTCAAATTTTGCTTAGTACGCACTGACGAAGTCACCTCGATTGCTGATGAAACGTCTGCAAATAAATAGTTCGGCTCGGAGAACACACCTAAACCTAAAAATGGGGAAATTTGGCTACTGTGACGAACGCCATTTGTTGGAAAGATATTCGGCAAGTCACCGTAAACCGTTCCGTTCTTTGTTCAATTAACAGGACTCGTAACATCATCTATTTCATGGGACTAATTTTCCGCGCAAGTGCTTTAAACAGGATTGATCGATCGGCTGAGTCGAACGCACTTTTGTACGCGTGGAACACTACTATTGTCGGTCCACAATACGTGTGACACTGCATTAGAACTTATCACGAAGTGAGTATGTGTTCAATACAGCCACGTCTTAGACGGAAGTCTGTTTACTCTTCCCTAGTCCGTGATTATCGCTCCGCAGTGAGGCGACGAGCGGTTCCTGAGGCCAGTACTTTTGTCACCACCGACGTTAGGCTAATACCCCTGTGGTTAGCACCGTCGGTGCGACTGACTTGCTTGTATATCGCCGCTATAATCGATTCACTCCAGTTAGCTGGAATGGTCTCTGCATTCCAGACTTGCTGAAACCGGGAGGTCAGTGCTTCATCGAGGAGATCACCACCATCCTTACATAGTGCAGGTGGGAGAGAATCCTGGCCAGCTGCTGGTGACTTTTTTCTTTCTTTGACAAACCGATCGCAAAGTCGGCATCCGTGAACTCGAACTCATTCTACTCTGATTTTCTATTGATTCTCCCTGCTGTCTGGCCAAGCCCTTACCTGACCTGCATTATCGCTAAATGACACACGTCACGGTAGCCGACCGATTAACATATATTTCTTTAGGCCGAACCACCGGAAGCGATTCGGATCTAGAAAGGGCTCTAATAGAGACCTAGAGGGCCTTCTGATAAACGCTAGTAAATGAAGTTCATCATAACTCGTTCCGTTCTCTAATCATGCTTCGACGCTCTAGCGTATTCGGTCTCTAATGACGTTCATTGATTGCTTGTAACAATGGCCTCATTACGGCGTTGTAATCTCTTCCCTTGACTGCACTATTGCACCGTCTCCACAAGTGTCGAAGGCTTCGAAAGTCTATACGAGGCAGCCGTTTCAGGTCGACTGACGATTTTACATCAACCTTGTTAATTTCAGTTCTGGGCAGCTTGTCCTTCGATGGTTGCTTTGTAATTCGATGCGTTCATTTGTTCTGCACAGGTGTTCTGCTGATACAAACAATACAGCAATTGACACTGTCAGTGCAACAAGTGTCGATCCTTAAGTAGCATTTGTGGCGATGTTCTCAGCTTCTCAAAGTTATCTAATTGAACGTTCACATCATCTGCTATGAAATGAGCATAGGACTCGTTGACTGATACCCCTATACGACTAAGTTAAAGGAATCAGGTCATCAACATCTTTCCAATCCTCTATAAATGAGGATGCTGTGACTGACCTTTCTAACGTGAGCTTTTCCGAAGATGCCACTCAGCTGAGGTGCGCGAACCGGCGCACCACGTTGGAGCCTATTTTCCTCGCGATATCTTGTGGTGCATCTAGGGTCATTTTGCTGCTTTTCGTCGTATCAACGCAAGCTGTTATTAATTTTTTTCTGACTAAATAGCTTGATTACACATGCCTACAGGTCAAGTCGGGTTACTTAGTGCAAACCAATCTTGCTAATCTGGGCTCTTCGTGGATATCAGACTTTCTTACAACCACGCAACCATATATTATGGATGCCATCCTCCGTAGAGGACGGAAGGATGCGCATCACTGACGAGCCCCAATAGGGCGAAACGGCCATCTGGTGCTTTTCCGGATAGGTAGTTGATTTATCTGAATTGTCGCCTGATTGCAACGAACAAAAATACGATTACAAATATCTGTGCTTCATCTCACAGTTGTCCATTTTTCTTGCTGTTAATTTTTGGTCGATCTCAGTTGCTCTCCTTACTCATTGGAGATGCAGCTTATTTTCATTCGGAATTACGCAGTTTAGTGGCGCTTGTGATGCATTTCTCATATATGCGCATGACATCATGCTTCCCGCCATTAACCGTGCACTGCTCCTATTCCCGCGAAACCCAGAAAATGTAACCCGAAGTACTGAACAACAAAAATGCCACTTTCGGAATTATTAAGTTTAGTATTTTTTCGTTTTCTTTCAGGTTGGGGATCTTATTCACTTAGACAAAGATCAACGTGTTCCCGCCGATATGGTTCTGCTATGGACTTCGGATCGTAGCGGATCTTGCTTCATTCGAACCGATCAGTTAGATGGGGAAACTGATTGGAAGCTACGTTACGCCATTCCTGCGACTCAGTCATTCGTCACTACATCTGGTCAGCCGTGCGCACTCTTCGACATACAGGTGGGCTTCTCTGTTGCGCTACTTCTTTGTCTTTCATCCCTTGTGTGTTAGTTCGCCTTTGCCGGTGTCTTGTTCAATGTTTTATCATTCCTTTGAGAAGCGAAGGAACGACCACTTCGTTATTGCTCCCCACACGTAGAGTGACTGTATGGAATTCGGCTTGGGTGCTGCACCGGGAGTCCCACTCGCTGAGTGAACGATGAAAAAACGTCCGCTCAGCGACGTTGACACTGCACGCTCGCTGTGAACCAAATGAAGAGCGACGGACTTTTAACCAAAGCATTTGTACCGAATCAGGTAAAGGCATTGCTGTTCAAAGAAGGGTTCGTAGCGCAATTTCTTTAACACATCACAACAATACTGAACCTTAGCCGGATGTGACGTTTTACGTACCATTTCGATCAATTGAGCTATGCTGGATGGTAGCCTCGGGTCACTTAAGAGCTGCTCCTACCAGGTGAATCAATGGTTAGAGGTCAGATAAACTCACTCTCATGTTCCTCCAGGTTGGGGGTTCGAGATGGGATGGCGTCTATTTCTGTAGAACCATTATTGCCACCCCTCTGCCTTGCGGACTGGCTTTTGAGCAAAAAATTTGCTTGAAGACTCTAACCGTTTTTCTTTCTTGGTTTGGACGCCTTGGCAGTATCTCGTCCCATGTACAACCATGATTATTTCTTCAAACCTCAATCACATCCTGCATCGGCCGTAGCGCAGCTCATAAATGATCGCCTTATCTGCTGCATACATCAGGGCGGACAAGGGAAAACATGCTACAGCTGATGCCCCCTTTTTCACATGTTTATTTTAATCTCCTGCCGACTTACCTTACTAATCTTTTTTCTATAAGTCCTGGCCTAGTTGATAGAAGACGTTATGTTGTCACTGGAGTTATACCATCAGCAGCTATCTTTCCGCATCACCTTAGATGCCGCTCGGCGTTAGCCCATTATGAGTCCACGCTATCACGTTTCTACGGCGGCGGCGGTCAACGTTTGCACTCCAAAACAAATAGGTCAACAGGTTATACTGGCATGCACGTTAAACACACTGGATATTGAAGTGTATTGTGTGTCCGAAGCCATCGCGACGAGACTGGATCTTAACATGGTGCGATATTTTGTGTGCCTCAGTGATCCACTGAGCTATGCTGGTTGGTGCTTTTTGCATCTTCAGATCCATTCATACCGCATTGGCCAATGGTTAGAGGCTAGACCCTCTCAGTCTCCTGGAGCTCCAGCTTGGGGGTTGGAGTAGGGCTGGCTCCTTACTCCATAAAACGGGCTGTCAATAGTCCAGTGTCAAAACCGCACTGCCTTACGGTCAGGTTTTTGAACCAAAGACTTTGGTTGAGAACCCTAATCGTTCTGTCTAGGTCTGGGCCACCTGACAGTGTTTTGCCTACGCCATACAATTAACTTTTCTACAAACGATTTATTGATGCTCTGGTCGTAGCCGGGGCTAATCAATGGCGCCCTATCTGCTGCATCGAGCAGGGTGGATAGGGGTTTGGATACTTCTGCTCAGGCCTTCTCGTCTTCATATTCCCCCTTGCGCTTTTTCATCCTTAGCGTCCCGCTCCAACTTCACTTTTATCCCCTCATTTTCAATCGTTCAATTCTTTTCCTTCCCCCGACTTGCTTCAATAGTCACTTATCTTCTAGTTTCATCTCACGCTATCGCAGTGCGCGGCTCCAGTCCAGTAGACAAGCCCATGTTCAACCAAGCGTCAGTTCACCCGTTTCTCTTTGGTGCCATCAATGCTTACTATGACTGACATGCCACAACGTGCGCACTTTTTTACTGGTTGGCCAACAGGCAGCAATTGCCCAAATACTCGAGACCCTCTCGATCCATATTTGCTGTTTCTCGGAAACCTACCTGCAAGATTCGAACTCCGTGCTTACTCTGCGATCCCTCACATGCGGCAGTGGCTTCACGTTCTCATTGCGCCTGTCTGGAGATGACACAGCTTAAAATGTCGGTCAAACCGGCGTAGACTTTGTTTTGTGCCGCCGCGTGGTAGTTGCCTTGCTCGGTTGGATTCCAGTCAACACGCGGATATGCGCCGTTAGACTGGCTGGCAAGTTCCAGGCTTCGAAGTCTCGCGAGAACAAACAGTGCCTGTTTGTTATTGCGGCTTTCGTCCCCGCAAAATGTAGCCCTGATTCGGTGAAAGTTGATTTCTATCACTGGCTAAACGATCTTCGTTACAGCAGGAGTACGGATTCTGTGGTACTTGCTGGTGATCTAACCACTTAAGTCGGAAAATTGTCCTCTGATGAGCTTCATCTGGGTGGCCAGCATGTTGTAGGCTCCCGTAAGAATAACGGTAAGTGAGTGCTACTCCTATGTGAAGATGCTCGTCTCTCTCGCGAGCACATTAACTTTCGAATTGGAACCCGCGGAAGAGTGACGTAGCGCTTATCAGCCCCGGATCAGCCATGGACGCAACTCGATCATATAGTGACCAGTTACTGTTGGGGGAAACTGCGTTTAGAACTGTCGCTCGATATGGAGCTCCACGGTGGACTCCGATCACGCTCTTGCGTGTGTCGACCTTTGGATGCGTTTCGGCTAATGTCCGCAACGTCTCTGTAACTACCTAGACACCAGCCAACTGACGAAGCCAGGTGTTCTGAATACGTATCAAAGTACGCTGGCGTCCTGGCTGAGTAAGCGCCCACTGAACACCGTTGAAGATCACTGGTTGCATATTCGTCAAACGTTACTATCAGCAGTCATGTCCTCATATGGCAAATCAAATCCAACCTGGACATTAAGCCTCTATGCAGTCTCTGGAACTTCTGGATGTTCGCCGACATTTTTCGGATTGAAACGTATACGGTGAGACTCACAAAAGTTTCAGGGCAAAACTGCGTGCTGGCCTGAAGAGAGACCGCGAAGCCTGGTGGTCTCATCGTGCATCGGTGTTGAAAGTGGCCGCTGCTATTAGTAATCATCGTAAGTTATTCCGTCTGTTACGGGAAACAGGTAGCTGGAGACCTGCCGTTAGCTAGACCATACGCGATGAGAGTGGACAAACCGATCCACAGCTTTTCAAAACACTTGGAGTGTTGGACCGAACATTTTGCAAAGCAGTTCAACCAATTTGAGTTATCACTTTTTCTCGGGAATGGAGTGCTCTTCTCTCTGGGCCGTCTCCTTAGATCCGTCTTCACGCGCAGGAGCCGAACGTGAGATCAGACTATTGAAACCGCGTAAGGCCGCGGGGCAGATGGAAATCCATCAGCCCTTTACCACTTCGGGGGATCTGCTCTTGTAGATGATTTACGATACTAGTGAAAATTGGGAGCACTAAATTGTCCCAACGGTCTGGAGCCACTCCTTTACCATCACAATTTTCAAGGAAGGCTCATGTTCTGAATACGGCATTCATCAAGGGATCTGTCTGATCTCAGTTGCCACTAAATTGCTTGCGTCTGTCGTTTTCCACAGACTGACTGGCGCTTGTGAAAGTCAGAGCCGCGAAGAACAAACCGGGTTTCATCGAAATCGAGGCTTAATCGACCACATTTTCACCTTGTGTCAATTGTTAAAGCACCGCCATGTTTATTTGTGCCTATCGTTGTCGTGTTTCTCGTCATCTAAAGGACCTTCGATTCAGTGGATCGATGTGCCCTTTGGGACTGTCTACGGATAAAAGGTGTGCCCCATAAATCCATAAACATTATCAAAACCCTGTACGCACATAGTTCGAGCAGAGTTTAGGTTTATGGCAAACTGTCTCCGCCCTTCAATATCTCCGGCGGTGTGATACAAGGTTGTCCGCTGTTACCGTTCCTCTTTAACTTCGACATTTACGTAGTTATGGAAACGGCGTTCTCGGAACACCATCTACAACGTGTGGAGCTACTTCCTGGTGAGCAACTTTACTTGGAGTATGCGGACGACATTACCCTCATGTGTGAATGCTCCCATACGTGCCAAGCAGCACTGGACCGATTAGCACTTGTTGTCAATCGTTTTGAGCTATGCTTTGCTCCATGGAAATGCAGAGCGCTTTTCCAAGATTGACAGCGACTCACCCCCTGCGCTGACCCTCTGTGGTGATCAGTTTGAAGTCGTTCCTGGGCAGCTATATTAGCACCCGTGGGATCTAAGATGAGGTAACGAACCGTATAGCGAAAGTTCGAGGCGCTTTTGCCAATCTCCGCGACCTGCGGCGCCGACGCGACATCACTCTAGCCGTGAAGAGCAGAGCTTATAATACAGCCGTCCGTTCAACCCTTCTACTCGGTTTTGAAACCTGGCCCATCAGGTCGACAGACATCAAAAGGCTGGTCACGTTCGCTCATCGTTGTTTTCTCAGCACAGCTCATATATAGTGGAAGCTCCGTGTGAGCGATGGATGTGTTCAGCATCGCGTATTTGGTGCCGGGAGAGAAAGTGAACCGCTTAACATCATTATATCGCGCTCCAGACTCCGATGGCTAGGCCACCTGTTTCGTATGCCAGCACACCTACTTCCGCGACGTGCATTGTTTGCGCGCCTTTGGTGCCGTTGGAAGAGGAGGAGGGTAAACTAAGCGATGAATTGGTCGTGAGAAGTGAAAGCCCTCAGTTTGAAGTTGGTGTCTGTTCGTGCATCCCAACTGCCTGGCTGAGGTCCTAAGAACGATGAGCACGTTTGTTTGGACACACTTACTGGTATGGCGTTTGGGTTGTGAGTTCCTTTATCCCCCACCTCCTTCCCTTTTAGATTCCTCCACCATTTATGATCTCATATGGAATGCATCCTATGATATCTTACATTATATTACTTGCTTTCTGAATTCTTTGTAGTGTAATTTTTATTGTCTTTTATATCACGTCACATTAGCTGAGGTGTGTTTCTCACCCTAAACTAACGTGTATTGATTGAGTGATATTGCTGTACGAAATTCGCATCAATGACCCTCATGTGCTTGTTGAACTAAGCACACACATCAGCTTGGGGTGGGCATCGTTCTCAGCTCCAATGCTGAGTCATCGTTGGTTGACTGGGCTACCGTGAGCAGCGTTTTGTGTGCAGACCGTTCGACACCACTATCTTTTGGGTTACCGCTTATGCACCCACCGACTGCAGTTTTGATGCTGCTAAGGACACCTTTTTAGCATTTTAGCACTTTTTAGCATTTCAGCTACCGATGTTATTGCATGGGCTATGAATGTGTAAATGGGTCGTCTGGGCTCTTCAAAAACAGCTGGGTGGCTTGACTCCAAGCGGACGAACAGCGGCGATCGTCTATCGAAAATTGTGTGGATCACGCTGTTACTTGATAGCACCGCTTTTAGATACACTAGGCGTCGAAATGCCACTTTGTGTCCCGGTCTAGCTGGCCAGTAATGGACCCAAATAGATCACCTTGCCATAAGTTGCAGGTGGCGTGGTTCCATCCTGGATTGTCTGTCATTTTGGAGTACCTGCGTTGATTCTGATCAGGCCATAGTGTGTCGGCGTTTTCCCATAAACTTCGACTAGTTGGTTGGACGCAGCACTTTTGGGAGCGATTCAGTTGATCTCACGCTCGCAGACTTCTTCCCGCTCATCTGGTGCAGGCTGAGCCATCGCCTTTTGTTTTAGCAGTTCCACCGAAGACTGAGGTCAGGAACGCAATCGCAATCCTTTGTCGTTTTCGAACTGCAGGCCTGGATTCCCTCTAACCTGCACTATATAGTAGTTTGGTTTTCTGTAAACGCTGGCATCCCTGTTCGAACAGGTCTGGAAGGAAGTGACCACCCCCAGCTTACTGGAATGAATCCATTATAATGTCATTAAGCAATAAAAGCAGTTACATCAACTGTGCCAACCACATAGGTATTAGCACAACATCGATGGTGACAAAATTGCCTGCTTCGTTCTCGTCGTTTCACAGCAGATCGGGACTTCCGGATGATATACGAGCAAGCAGATTTCCACTCAGGATGGGCCTGTATTGTGTGTACTCTTTCTGTGGCAGGTGCTTGAACAGCACAACACTGACCGACAATAGCTGTGTTCTTCGACTTCAGTAGAGCACCGCAAGCCACCGTGGTTGTACAGCATTGAAGCATCAGTTCAAATGGCTGATGTATTTCTCTTATTGGTGTTGATAAGCCTGGCTAGATATTTTTGTACGCTGAACTCTTTGTTATTTCCGGTCTGGACAATGCTGAACTATGCCATTAGGGAATATGTGACCTCTCTCACTCATTTTGTCCATTTAGGCGTTTAATTCGGTATATTCTCATACGATAGGGCATTTGTGACTTCGAGTGCTACGGCCACGAGGATCTGGATGACAATACGTTGGCACGAATTCTATGTTTCTCGCCGTGGAAGTGATTGATAGCTGGTTTATTTCCTGTCACTGAATTGGTCTGCTTTGTTTCATTGGCACCCAGCAGAGCCGTCTATTACAAGACGCAGCTTGTGATAGTGGATAATACACCGGATGGATGTTTTATTCTCCTGCACGTCATCGTATCGTAATACTGTGTTGCCTTGTTTCTCACGTTTGCTTGTTGACACAGTAATAGTCATTAACATGCTGCGCGAGCGGTTGTTGGACTTTTGGTTTTGCTTATTTTCCACTTTTATACCCAAGCTTGTAGGTTAATATTATTATCTAGGTTTCCGCGTTGGTTGTGTCAATGCTGCAGGTGGACCTATTAAGGTTCACAAAGCTTATTTTGACTTTGACTAACGAGCATTCACGAACTTTTTACTTCTAGTGCGCCCTTCATGGCTGTTGGCTTGATCAGCTAGCCGCGGTTCCTGATGTTCCTACATCTTTGGATTATAAATGATCTGGTTCTGATTTTTCTCTACTAAAATTTCTATGGAGTAAACCGAAGGTACATAGACCTTACCACTTTATTGTGGCTTGTTTGCAAAATCATTGAAATAACGCAATCCTACTCACTTGTCTGTACGCTCCGGATCTTCTCAAGAACAGCTTCTACTGCAAGGATGCTCTGCGGTTCCTTCTTTTTCGGAGGGTAATCAAAAGCCAATGAAACTATGAAAAGTATTCTCACTTGTCTGATGAGTTCGACTCCTCCAAATATCAGGCAGTCAATGATATTGGTGCACTTATCTGAAAGCGTACTTTCCGTTTTACAATCTTGCTCATTTGTGTAGACTGCGATAAGCTTACCTATTAATTTGGACCTGGGATTACCTCACCGAATTACAATCTCTACAGATGCATGGCTACTGCACACTGACGAAGTTGCAAAACGTCTTGCCCATTCCACATTGTTTGATTCTCAACCTCTGTGCCATGGATTAGTATCCGCCTTTGCACGAGTTTGGATGCTCATGCAGTAAGTATTCCAATCTTCGTATTATCCGATTAGCATTGGCCGGTTCCCCAAAGGTCACCTGTTCGAATCCGCGTAGGTACTGTCGACCTCGTGGTGTAACCAGCCCTTACGCGACAGGTGGTGGTCTTGTGGCAGCGAAGCGTCGGTAGGCTGTGTATGCGTACTGCTGATGCCTTTTTATATAATCGTTTGCAGTCGAATGGCAGAAAATCATTGGGGTATAGTATTGATATGCTCCCTATATATTTCACCTGCCTTGTTTATGCATGGTAGGAACATTCTTCGGGTAATGCTGCAAGACCACATTTTTTTCTTTTCACTGGATTATTTGATTCACCCTTGGTTTGGTCTTTTTCCCAACGTGCCTTTTGAACACCCATGCTATTGAGTTTCGCTTTCTGGTGTTGCATTCGTGTGCGTCGGGTTCAAAACAAAATCTGCTACGGTGTCAAAAAGTAACGCGATATGAAAGAACGAGGAACATCAATAGTACGCCGATACGTCGCTTCGTTGTTCAGCGAAGAACATCTCAAAGAAGTGGTGCAAACGATAACCTTTGAGTTGAGTTTTGTATTCGTATCTTTGCAACTTCGCTGGTTCATCTATAATGCACTCACGATAGTGTTTCAACTCTCCCGGTCTTCACTTGTCTGCTGTTAAGTTTTTCTTCAAACTTTGTCATTCCTCTATTCTCAAATCCTAATGTTCCCTCTTCTCATCTCCAGGCACGCGTTTTCGCGGAAGCACCATCCCAAAACATCCACAGTTTCGAGGGAACTTTTGTGCGCACAGACCTGTCGCATACAAGCGACACATCCGTGGATGTGGATGAGATGTCTCTCAATTTGGATCACACGCTGTGGTCAAACACTGTGTTAGCCACGGGAAGCGCCATCGGGCTGGTTGTGTACACAGGGGAGGAGACTCGGGCCGTGATGAATTCCAGTCGAATACGAACGAAAATGGGAAAAATTGACAGGGAAATCAACAATATCACAAAACTTCTCTTCATCTTAGTTGTTTTGCTAGCGTTCGTTATGGTCGCGTTGAAGGGATTCACCGGGGCTTGGTACAAATATTGGTGGCGATTCATGGTCCTCCTCTCTTACATCATACCGCTTGCGTAAGTGAATGACTCGAACCGATGTTTTGTGCATGCCTTTTCATATCGCAGCATCTTTTGGTCGGATTGTTAATAACACGAGTCACCGGAGCCAATATTGCATCTGTGTTGTTTTCTGATGCTAGTGGTGATAATACTAGTGGTCCAATCTTAAATTATCAACGCATCAGAAATTTGCACTGATACCTCGCCACCACCGTGCAGTCAAAATAACCTAGGGAGTGCGAAATGATACGATGGCGAAGTGGGACCTAGCTATCCTAAGCAGACATGCAAAGTTAAAGCACTGATACCTTGTCAACAACACAAGGCCACCTACAGCTCCATGTCATGCGATCATAAGGGAGCATCGGCGCGCTTTTTTTCTTGTGACTTTAGCTGCCCTAAATCATTATTATTATTATTATTATTATTATTATCATTATTATTATTATTATTATTATTGTTATTACGCCATCCTAAGCTAATTGCAATGTGATCAATTTGAGACCACGGTTGTGTTGAGGAAGGGGACGCCAAGTTGCGGAACGCTTCTTCGTACGCCTGAAGTTAGTGCTGGAGAGAAATAGATACTTGTCTTCACACAATCTGAGAAGCCTCTCTTCGTTATCAGAGCGATTTTCCTCGAGCGCGTGGTGACAAGCAAGGTGGCGTTCGTATGGTAACAGACGGCCATCCCGTGCATTAAAATCTCCAGCAAGGACAACGATCTCCGACTTTTTAGCACTAGACCAAAGCTGATGTAGATCATGGTAGAATTCGTTCTTGACCGAGCCGCCACTGCACTTAGTTGGGGCGTACATGGAGATCACAAACAAGTTGCGTCTCTCTTCCCGACGCTTCTGAAAACTGGTTATCGGCTATGGTAACTGCCTAAGAACGGCCGCTCAGGTACGACAATAGCCAGCCTAGGAGTAGGTCTTGAATCCCAAAGGAAGCGATGTTATTCAGCAGCCGTTTGCGGGGCACTCGATCGAATGCCTTTTCCGTGTCCAGGAACATAAGTATGATTGCGTATCCTGAGTCAATAGAATCCGAAACTTGGTTTAGTTAATGTACTTGGCAGGTTAGGTACTGTCGTTTGTCCAAGAAGTCATGCTGTGACCTGTCTATTAGCTCCAGCGAATTGATTAATTCCCATTTCCTGGCTACTACAGGGGTTTGATGTATTGGCTGGTAATTATTACTTTCTTGTTTGTAGCCACCATTGTGACGGGAGATGATGAGCGATCTTTTCCCCTGGGCTGAAAAGTAGCTTGATTCCAACGAAAGGGTAAACATGTTTAGCCATAGTAATGGCATATCAGGCCCTCCCACTTTTATTACGGCAGGTGGGATACTATCGGAATCTAGATGGGAAGGCGGTTTGGTACAATTCATTGTCCCGATAGTAACGATAGCAAACCCAGTGTTACCCAGAGCATTGGTTGTTTGCACCTCAATGCGTACATTTAACGGGGTCGTCTCCAGCCTCATGGGCGTAGCGAAAGATGTGCTAAAGGCTTCGCAGATGTCGGCTGGATCGTGAAGGGACTGTCCGTCTGCATTAACTAGTCCATCGATCCAAGGGAAGTGGTATTTCCTTCTGCGACACTTAATTCCAACAAGTTCTTTCCTTTTACGTGTCGTTCGTAGAAACATTTGTTCTTCGTGTATCCTCTTTGTCAACTGTATGTGCTTGACCCTGTCAATAATGTTGTGCAGCGAGGTGAAATTACCCGTCTTTCAGCATCCTGCAATTAGTCTTCTGTGTTTCCGGCTGACTGAACGCAAGCTTGCGTCTTTTTGAACACTGTGATCCCCTTATCCTGGGAGTAAGGACAGCAATGGCCTGATGGAGTCGATGGTAAAAATAGTCCACGGCATTGCACACATTGTTCGAAAAAGAATGCGTCCCAATCGGATGATCGTATTAATTTTTGCAACTGCTTCCACTGTATCCTATGGGTTGCATATTACGAAATAAAGGCGTGTTTGGTGACCAACTTAACACAGAAAGTGAATGGTACCATGTTATGGTCACCACCAGAGCGTTTGTCTACTACCTCTGTTTGTGCATTTGTGGCCCCCCAAAATGAATATCAGATCGCTCTTGTTGGCTCTGCAACCCACTGTATCCACCCACGAATTCTGATAGAGAAAAAGAAAGCTGTATGTGTAGACCAGGATAGTTGGGAGAACCACCTAGTGTTTGATAAGTTACAATCACCAGCAATTATCTTCTGTCTGTGTGATAGCAGCAAATTCGCAAGCTGAAGTGATTATGGTAACACTCGCGGTTGATGCAGTTGGCGGGTTGTAAACCCATCCGAGTAGAATGTGAGAACCGACTCTTGAGACGGATAACCAGAGATTCGGAAACATTTGTTAGCTCTGGATGATCAAGAAGTTCTGCTGCAAATCTACAGTGTAGGTATATCATCATGCATCCACCTCCTTTGCCTGTGCCGCGATCTTTTCGGAAAACTTGCTAATTAGGAATCCTCAATGTACAATCTTATGTATCGAGGGAGCACCACGTTTCAGTAACGAGGACTGCTTGTGGATGTTTGATCTGCGCAAACATGCCTAGGAAGTACAATTTGTTGTTAATAGATCTGGCATTAAGTAGAAGTACAGAAAACGGGCTATTGGATGTGTGGGTCATCGTGTTGCGGTTTGTTATACCCGCTGTTGTAGTCAGGTACTATGGACGCAGGAGATATGAGTGTTAGTAGTGGGGTCGAATCTATTCTTAGCAGGCGTGGTGATATAGATACCATGTCGTTTGTGATTGCCGATATTGCTGTGGACATGGAGGTGGTTGAGGGAACAACTCCAATTTGCGGTGGACGTGGCAGTTTTCCTAGCCGAGTCATCTGCAAAAATTGCAGAAACATTGGGGAACAGATAGTTGACTTCTGCCGGGTACGTAAGGAGTGGGAATGGTCACGGCTCCATTTTCTCCTGTACTGAAAAAGTCTCATACTTAGGGGTGTTGAGAAGGGCTGTGCACATATGAGACGGGATGGGAGGCGGCATTGTCCTCGTGACGTAGTTTGTTCTATCATTACTGTGCCTGATTTTGTGCTGTGGAAGGGAATTGTGGCGTGGGGTCTCCAAAAGACATTTATTTCCGGTTTTGTCGCCTCAGGATGTCGCTTTATGTAGTGTTTGTGCGATGTATGTTGTTGGTAGATCTTATTAGTTTCTACCGTGTTCATCACTGGCTTAAGTCTTGTTGGAACCGGTGAGTTACTGTGGGTTTTCTACATTATTGGGTTGACTGCCCGTGGGGATCCTTTGGGCGTTGAGTTCAGCTTGCGACTGCTACATGGCCCTTGATAGTCAACCCTTCCCAATGTTACTCCATCACCTCCGAACGATGAATTCGATTTCTTTAGTTCACATGCGTCAAGATTGAGGTAGTAGTTTCTAGGAGTTTGCTTAGGTGACATTGCACTATCGTCAGGAACAGTGCTGACCGAGGTCCGTATCATATGAGTTGAGCTGTCGAGATCCACTTCAAAGTGCCCAATTGCCGCATTAGATAAATTATCTTTTTTGAGCTTTGGTCTGAGGACACTTAGCCTAAATAGCCTTTTGAGCTGGTGATTGTGACGAAATATCACTAAGGGATATTTGTAGAGGCGTGCGATTTGGTTTTATCAATAGGTCTTTGAATTGGCTTCGCTAGGCTGTGGTGAGCTGATTACTCAACAATCGGCTCGCAGTTTCCTCAGTTGAAAGTTCAAAAACGATCGGGCAGCAGTGTTTAGGTGATCTCGTTTTCAGACGAAGGCATTTGCATTCAATTTCAGCCATGTTGCAGACCGTAATTGCTGCAGTTTTAACTTTACCCAACCTAAATCTGTCAGGAATACTGAGTACTGTATTATAGAGCAAGTAGAAATGAATTCTGTACAACTCTTTCGAAATATGGTGAAAAACGTTATAAAGTTGTCAACAGTGAATATCGTTGTCGTTCTCGTGTAACACTTACTTACGATATTGCAGGATTCACGAATGTGAGATGTCATCGTAAGTGTGCAGTCGTTCTCTGAATCGAATAGTGGCAAAATACAAATCGAACAACGTTTTGAACTGTTTCTCAGATGTCGCCTCAATCACATATTCAGGCAAACTGTTCCAAATGTTTACCACTCTCCGTTCGAAGCACAGCGGGTGGGGAACACATTTCACATCCGGCACGATAAGTTTGTATCTGTGTCCGTGTGTGCTGCATGGCCTTCGTAAGTGCAGCATTGGCCTTAGCATTGGGAAGTCACCGAGATGTAGAATACGGTAGGTCATAATGAGGTCGACCCGCACCCGACGGTAGGACAAGGTGTAGAGTCATAGTTTCTCTCACCGGTCTTCATACCCAAAGCCACCTAAACTCGGGATCAGCCTGGTAGCAACGTGTTGGACCCGTTCGATCTTTTGCGCCTTGCCTCGGGTACTCGGAAAGTAGGCGGGCGAACCGTACTCTAGCATTGGTCTAACGATAGAAGAGAACAGGCGAGTGGCAACCTCTTCAGACCATATGCCGAAGCTACGTTTGAGCGCCCAAAGCATGCGCAGTCCGTTACGATATAGCCTGTTCGTGTTGTCCACGGACTTCAAATCGTAGCGTGAGAGTACACCTAGATCTTTCACGGAGGGTGTAGGATGTAGCGTTTGGCCGTCAATGGTGTAGGTTCGGCCGTTAGTACCCTTCCCCAGGCTCATAAATACAGACTTGCCTGGGTTGACCGGGGGGAGAGCTTCTGCAGACCATGTGGGTAAGCGGTTGAGGTCTTGCCACAGTCATCGGGAGCGTCGATTTCTCTCCAAATCTTCATGTCGTCCGCAAACAAGGCACACGGCGACCGGAGAAGCTGCGGTAGATCGTTGATGTGGACCAGGAACAGAGTGGGCCCTAGCACAGTGCCTTGAGGCACGTCACTTGTAGAGGGGTACCAGTCAGTTAGATGGTCGTCGACCTGTACCCTTCATTTTCGGCCAACAAGAAAGTCGCGGCTCCACCGGTGCAGTGAGCCACCGACACCACACATGCTGAGTTTGTAAAGGAGAACCTCATGACTGACCTTGTCGAACGCTTTACTGAACTCGATGAATATCACGTCGACGGACTTCCCCTTGTTTATTGCCTTCAACCACTCATGCCTCGTCACAGGCATGTTCGTAATGCATGAGCGACCTTGCATAAAACCGTGCTGTGCGGGCGTCAGGACTTCGTTTGACTGTAGCAACTGTAGCAATCCCTTCTTCACGATTTTCTCAGCAACCTTTGCCAAAATAGTTGTCAGACAAATTGGCCTGTAATTGTCTACTTTGCTAGGGTCGCCGCCTTTCGGAATAGGCTTCACCACCGAATGTTAATAATGATCACACTTCCCAGTCTATGCATTCTTCATTGGTGCCGGCTGAGTCATGTAAAGTCATAAACGCCAAACATAAGGGGTTCGCATATACTCTAACTTGTGAAGTGCCAACAGTATCCTGTTTACTCGTCAGGAGCTTCATTTACCATTGCCAACTCAACTTTTTTCCCCATCCAACCTCCGTCAAACATGACGAGGATCCGCTCGGTTAGCGGTGACGAAGCATACGTAACACGTGCCCAAATCATTATAACTTATTTATCACTATTTATTGTTCCAATGACCTATTGTCATCAAGTGCTCATCTGTGCATGTCATCGTTGCTCACGCGCCGGGACCATCCGGCACACATAATGCTCCTCAGACAGCGCTACTCAATGACTAGATGGCGCATCATATTTCTTCACTAAATCTCGACAAACTCCTTATATTAATCTTCTTTTTTATCTGGTTGAGTTAATTATCAGTCATGTTGTTGATTCGATGGCTGCAAGTGGGAATCCCACAATTGTGCCACTTGACACATCCTCAAAATGCATCACCTATTTCCTACTTTCGTTTTATGAGCTGTTCTTTCCGGTCGCTGCTTTTATCTTATTCTCTTTTCCTTTCGTTTTCTTCCTTTTTTCTGAATTGTTATGGCCACGAATTGACGACGAAATACTGTATCACGCCTCTCTGCTCCGATCGTGATTCAGTGTTTCGCTTCTTTTAGGTTGTGTATGACAAAACCTGTCTACCCCGAATAGAGAAGCAGATCGCTTTCACATCCGAAACCTTTATATTAAGGATTAACACACAGTGCAGTATGACTTATCTTGGTATCCATGCGACACCGATCTTTTATTTTCCAATATTTGCTATTGAACGTATTCAACACATTGCTTCTGTTCCTCCGATTGGATATTCTAGATGTACATGAGGATGAAAATGATACAATTTATCCGATTTCAGGTATACTGCCTTTTGCGCCCGAATTCGCTTATAGTAATTTTTCTGCTTACCTTTCCACGGTGGTTCATCGCGATCCCCAGTCTCAGCAGACATAGTTGCACATTTATCGTTTTCCCTACATTCTCCTCTGGCTTCCTATCCAGTTGCCAGTGTGTGGCAGTGTTTCATGCATCTATCTTGTAATCCGCAGGTTACGGGTTCGAGATTGTAGGTGCATTAACAGTATCTTTGCCCACATGTAATCGATGATGTTTGCGTTGCAGCGTAGTATTGTTACGAAATACTCATGAAATGCCGGTGCTATTTTGTGACTAAAGCATCTATTGATTCCTAGCTGGCTTTCTCTCAGTTGCCAGTCAACGGCAACATATCAGTTCCCTTTCTGATTTGATCGTCCATTTTTCGCAGGTTACGCGTGAACATGGATTTGGCCAAAATTGTCTATTCCTTTTTGATGGTGCGCGATGCTGGTTTGCCTGGTTGCATTGTCCGAAACACAACAGTTCCGGAGGATCTGGGTAGAATATCATACCTGTTATCGGACAAGACAGGTACTCTGACCCAAAATGAAATGGTCTTCAGGAAGCTTCATTTGGGTAGTGTAGCCTTCGCCCCAGACTCCATGGAAGAAGTGGTTCAAAGCCTGAGGCGTTACTTCGAGTTGCAGTCTAGCAAGGGCCAAACATCCGATGATCAAATTGGACGTCAAATGCGCCGCACTGGGGCCGAACGTATGGTCTCTGCCGTACTCGCTATCGCGTTGTGTCACAATGTCACGCCGATGAGTGAGGATGGCTCCTCTGGCGCGGCAGATATCGACGTAAAGAATCCATTGGAAATGGTACGTCCACGGCTGTCTTGCCTCCCATTCACCTGGTTCCTCATTTCACTATGGGTTTCTGTATTATTTTGTCCTCTACTCTTTTCAGGTGAACATCACATCGGACCCCGTTGGGTATCAGGCCAGCTCTCCTGATGAAGTGGCGCTCGTCTCTTGGACCGCTACAGTTGGCATCACTTTGGTGTACCGAGATCAGCACTACATTTGTCTTCGCTTACCCAACGGTACGTCTACTAGCCGTTACTCGTTCCTCACTTTGCTTTTCGTCCTGGCTTGGTCGGTATCTCTTTGTGTCTCCTTTTTGCCATTGATGCAGTTGTGACGAGTTACCGAACTTAGTGCGATACTTTTCGGTTTCAAATGGCCAAGCGCTCTACTTGTGCTCACCTAACCGTTTCGGTCGCTAAGTTCGCTTTGTGAAAGGTGGAAGTGGTACAACACAGTCTCACAGTCGTTTTTACCTGGATATTCATGTATGCACTGCGCCTTCCTATGGATGAGGCACAACGCATATCGCCCTAGTTTGGCTGCAATCGCCTGCCTGACATGTGCTCCTCTATGAGCTATCACGTTTGGATGCGCAAATTACCGATGCCGATAGAGTGCCTGATCGCAGGAATATGAGACGGTTAATTAGTGGAGAAGAATTGAGCGAATTTGTGCTTCCATCTTAAAACACGCTACGATCTAGTCATCGTCCTCCGCTTGTTTTGTATTTGCGATTCCAACATTTTGGTTTTACTGATCAACATGCATTCCTCAACTATGCAAGATGCTGATCTCACCTGCTGAGGTACAGCATTATCGTGCTCATGCATAAGGTCACATCCCTCATGATTCCGAGAGGTAAAGGAAATTTCTGCATAGTCAACATGCCAAAACACATAATAAGTATACAGTTGTACAGGATTGCACCGGGACTCAGTATATGAGGTAGATCCATTAAACCTTCTCATGAAGCAGTTGACAATGAACAAGAAAATGAAGAAAATCCGGTGATGGATTATTGTTCGGGGATTCCCACTTTTGAATTATGATTCCGTAATTTTCTCAGTCTTCAAAAGCCTTTTTCGGACTCACGGCTACTGGCAAGAAAGGTTTCGACGCCAGACGGCCAACCACTGTTCTCTTCATGGGCAGTAACTTTCATGGCTGTGCGGGATAGGTCGGGCTGCATTGCAGTTAGGTTTCAATCCCTGATGGTCGACTATCATCCCCTATGGCTCAGCGGCCTAAGCTGTTGGCTAGCGGTGCATGTTCAAGCAGTCATGGGTTCGAGCACCGGAAAGGGACCGAGGGAATGCGCACATCCGACGAGTCCCAACAGGGCCAAACGATAGTCTGTTGTCCTTCCGGATTGGTAGTTGACCTTTGTTACTTGTAACCCACTTGAGATGAACCAAATGAATTTTACTCGCGTGACACCGAAGGCAAATTGGCTTACTTGCTTCAATCTGTCCTGTCTTTGGCTCCATAGTTTTCTTCACAAGCTCAGGCGAACATGTCCGACTTGAGAATGACGACAAAGTCGCATTGGGATTTGTTACGGAATGACCACATGCGGCCTTTTAAGCATGAGAGCTAGCAATGGTTATCCATGTTTCCCGGCTCTATCATGTGGTTTCCATGCGACGGTGGCATGATGTAGATGATTCGATTTGTTCGAACCTTATTGACAAAACCCTTCCGGGCTTAGGATGCTAGGTAAGCAATCAGGTTGTGGTGCACTAAAAGCCGATCCTACTGCGAATTTACCTGTTACTGCCGCCTCCATAGAACAGCCACAGCACGTGTGCGCCTACAAAGGGATCATTGGTGGCTTGCGCTGCACCATGCAACTCCATCCATACACCCCATATCCAGTGTAAAATCGAAGGAATAAGACCGGGAGGCATGTAAATGGGAGCCACGTTTCACCAATGGAGCTGGTCAACACTCCTTCAACATGCACGGCAACAGCATTCCTGTCTATCTGTTGGGAATCAGGCTTACCAGACCTACGCAAGGCTGTGACTGGGACGTAGTCCGCTCTACACTAGGTGGAACCACTAGTTGAGCCTAACACGGTCACGAGCATTGTGCATTCCGTCTCACAGCAAAGATTAGCAGCCTCCTGGAGCCAGTTTTCTGGGCAGAAGGTGCTAGTCAGCTAAACACCTTGTCAGCATTCACATCAAGCGCATCCACACCGGGTATATGAAACAACCAACACTGAATTTGAAGGAAATTGACACGCAATGTGCAGTAGAATAACAGAATTGAGCAACTGAAATAATGGAATACCTTTCATCCAGGTAAAAAATATCTAGTTAAAATGTAAGTCAACTCAGCTGCGGTGAAGAGGCGTGTTGTATGCAACACCAACCTCAGTATGGCGCATACATGGTTGGTTGGCGGCATCCGGTTTCGGAGTTGCCTGTCACTGTGGCCAGCCACAGGACGCCCGGGCCTACAGAGGGACCATGGATGGCTTGCGCTGCACCACCCACAGCTCCAACCACACTCCCCATGTCCATTGTAAACCCGAAGGAATAAGACCGGGAGGCATGTGGATGGGAGCCAGGTTTCATCAACGGAGCCGGCCCACACTCCTTCACAGGCAAACACAAGCACACTGTATTTGGGAATCAAGCGCACACAAGGCGGTGGCTGGACCGTAGTCCGCTCCACACTAAGTGCATGGAACCACTCTTCGAGCATAACACAGCCGAGGGGACCATGCGCCCCACCCCCTCCAGCAAAGGCCAATTGTCTCCTGGAGCTAGTATGGATAAGGTAGTGGGTAATAGACAGGTAGGCACCTTGTCAACATGCACATCAAGCGCAGCCACACCGGGGATATCAACCAACAGCCAATCACTCGAGACGACGATATCAAATACAGTACATCGCATAATGCATACATATATGGTGACATAACTCTTCACCAGATGTGCATATGAAATAAATTGGTTGCCAACAAATCCGCGATTGGTTCAAGACGCCAGCAAATATTTTAAGCAAATGCTATGAACGCGAATTGTTTTCGAAGTTAACTGCAATTAACTTAAGAGACGTGTGCAAGATAATAGAAGATAGTTCAGGTGGACATTATGGGATATAAACGCATTAGAGCAATATAACAAACCCAGCACCTGAAATAAAGAGACTCAGCATGCAAGCACGCGGTTAGTAGATCAAATGCAACCTACCTACCAACGCTGCGGCGGTTCTGCCTGCCTGCAGGACCGGTCGTTGTTTCTAATGTGGCCCCGAGTGACATCGCTCATGGTTCACTAAGCCTGCCTGAGTCAGACACTCGCGACCGCATGTGTTACAGCACCATGTGCTCGATAGTACAACAAATCGGCGCTTGCCGCTTCTTCTTTGCATGCATGAGGCCTTTCTCCCGCACTTCGGCAACTGCCTTCGTGATCAGATCGCGCCATGCACGTCGATCAACCGCCTTCGATCCTCATGACCTGCAATGCAGATTAGAACGTGATAGGCTCACTTTGATCATGTTCTGATAACGTAAATCTGGTTTCCCCACATGCCGCTTCCCCAAATTCAACTGAATTTTTTGATAGCTGCTTCGCTATCCGCGTTGAATCCATCGTAACACATGACCGAGCCACCTCAGGTGTCTCAGCAGAAGTATGCATTCTACTGCATACATTCTACTTCGGCGCAACACCTCCAGATCAGCAAATCTGTCGCAAACACTGTTGATGGAACCGCCCGAGATATCGCACATGCCGCCGGTACACCGTCCACGTTCCGCTGCCGTATAGAAGAACAGAGAGCACCATAGATTTGTACACTATCAGCTTCGTACCGACGGTAAGCTAATGGTTGTTCCACACTCAGTACTCTAGCTTCCCGAATGCCGCGGCTGCCTTCGAGATGCGAATTGGAAGCTCACTGTGTGGCTGCTGGTCAGTCGACATCACACTCCCAAGGTAGTAGAAGCGGGAGGTGGTTTCCAATACTTCACCACCGATGCTGATTCGCGGCACCATTGTCGATTGCACCTCCCTTGAAGGTGGAAAGCGACAGACAGTTTTGTTTTTGTTGATGGTGAGTCCGAATTTGGCCGCTGTCGAAGTCGGAGCACTAGTCGTGTGCTGCAACTCATCCGCGCTGTGTGCAAACAACGCACAGTCGTCAGCCAACAGTAACGTACGGATAGTTGTCTCACAGACTAGGGTTCTCGCACCGAAACGACGGATGTTCAGCAACCCACCATCAATACGATGCTGCACACGAACACCGTAAGTACAAGCCGCATCCAAAGCACAAAACCTCATTGCATGAAGATAAATACTAAACAGTGCAGCAGCTAAGACACAGTCTTGCCTCACAACAGAAACAACTGCAAAGTCATCCGAGGTATCTGCAATCAGCTGCATCCTAGCTCGCACACCACTATGCAGACATTCAGTTAAACTTTAAAACTTACGCGGGCAACCAAACTTATCCAACACCAGCCACAATGTCTCGCGGTTCACCGTATTAAATGCCTTAGTGAAATCAACACCTCTCCTGCAACTGAGCAGCCGCAAACATCAATATTGATGGTGCTGCAACCCGAACGGAATCCACACTGCTCTTCCGTCACGTTCGGTTCCACAACCTGACTGACGAGGCAGTTGAGCAGGATTCAGGCAGTCGCCTTGCATACACAACTCAGCATGTTGATACTACGATATCTTTTGCAACATGGTTTGCTCCTTGTTCTCTTATGCAGTGATAGCACAAGGGTATCCTTCAGTTCAGGAGCCACCTCATCCTCAATCCACACGCATTGCACCAAGTGGTGCAGCGCAGTCACCAACGCCGTTCCGCCGTGTTTCAATACTTCAGGCGGGATCCCGTTGGCACTGGCACACTTGCCGTTTCGCAGCTGAGCAAGTGCTCTCTGCATCTCATCCAATGTCGGCTTGTCCGCCATATTTACCTTTACATCGTGCTGCTTGAGACCGTTCAATGTAGGCCAGTCGATCTCTGAGCGGTTATTCAAGACAGTCAAATTGTTTCCGTCAGATCTGCATTAGGTCTGCAGTCTGTGTGCAGGCGGCGCCCGAACTACCATCAGTCAGCGTCCTCAGCGACTCTAACCTTGCCTTCAAGGAGTCAAAGAACCCCTTGTGTTGGTGGCGTTCGGCGTAGCATTCCATCTGCTTCTCCTTCTTCGTCCACCATGCATGATAGCCATTTTACTGCAATAGGACTCCGCTGTTTTGTTTTCTCATGTTTGTGGAAAGGAATAATGGATCACTCCTTTGACATTCCACCATATGATAACATAATCTTTTTGGTGAAATTTCGGCTTAGGGGTCTGTCCTGGGGTGTATTCTTGCTTGATCGTTTTCAGTTATCATAAAAAATCCCCTTTTGCATCACAAGTGATGATTTGGTGTAAAACCGGCAATGGTGTATTGCGAAGCAACACCGCTTGCTGTTGTGGTCGATCATCTGCAGTTGCATAAGTCCAATTTCTTTTACTCGTTGATGTTACACAAATTGTCAAAACGAAGTTTTTTGAACCAATATGGAGCATTTTTTTTCATTAATGGATCCATCTTCAAATGCATGATTAATGTTTCTCGAAGCTTGAGCTGCGGTATGCTTCAATTTGAACTCGTACTGGAAAAGTTTTGTTTCCATCTAGTTTCGGAAAAAAATAAAATTTGGCTTATAAACACGAAAATTTTTTGCGAAATGATTAAGAAGATTATCTTTAAAATTTGTTACCAAGAATATTGAGCGCACGTTACAGGGAACCTCTCTCAGTTGCAGCTGAATACAGACTAAACAAAAACGCCCGTTTCTGTTTGGCAAGAACAAATTGAACTATCTTTCATTCAATCAACTTCCAGTGCCACCGAAACCACTACACTATCGGGCTTTCGTATATAAATGCTGAACTATCGCGCACGATCCCCTATCTATTGCCTTTGGATATAGAATTTTATGCTAATTGGAACGAGTTAGAAAGAATCTTTTAATAGAAAGTTTCTCTTTTGGATGGATGGATATACCGAAGAGTTAGTTCTGCATTATTCGGTCGTTGCGCGATCGAGTTATGACAACACATCCATTTGTAAACTTCGGCATTTTTGTTGGTATCCGTTTAGTACATTTACACCTGCTAATGTGGAATTCTGACAATGCACGCATTTGGGTTCATAAAGTTTTTACTGACGACTTTGATTTGGAAACATTCACCAAAACAGTTTCTACAAACTGTCCTTGTTGCGAGAACGTCAATTAATTCCGCGAAGATGCGCACCCTGGATTTGGACTTCAACGTTTGCTTGCGCAATGAAACAGCTACGCATCTTAGCGCTCGTAGTGTGTCCACGCCGGTGGCCGAGTGGTCTGTGCATCTGGTTTGCAACCACAAGGTCTCCGGTTTAAATCCGCCTAGGGATGGTCGTCCTGGCGGTATACATAGCCCGCGTGCGATGTGGTGGTCTCGCGGCAGCGAAGCGCGTTATGGCGTACAGCTGACACATTATTATTTGTGTGGCCATGCAACTTCCGAATCATGACGCTGTTGGGTTTCGTGAACAAACTCGTCCCCTCGAAACTTACACCCGACGTAGTGAGGGTTTCGTGCTATGACTCAGTAAAGCACTCTTTTAACGGCCTATCTCTATTCTGTCTCTGGTCGGGTACGCTCATAGGGTTTATTTTCGTCTGGGATTGTGTCGCGCGTCACACGGTTGGGAGAGTTTTGTTCTTGTCTAGACTGCGGCTAGCTTTCGCACAGGCATTATCTTGTGATTGATCGAATTGCATGCTCGTCTACCGGACGCGTGGGAACGACCTTAGGCGAACTTTTCATCTCAGTGCGTCCACCGTAAAGCGGGTCTATAACAGTTGTACATTGATACTGCCAGTGGAAGTCATGTCTTTTGGGACCAGCCCTGTTCTCAGCAACATACGTGACTTCCAAGACAGTTGAAGATAGGACGCACTATATCGTAGTCAGCTTGTAAATTGACGGTCCGCTGCTGTCCCCTGTGGCTTAATACAATAAGCTACTGGCTGGTGGTTTAAGCCGCTAGTGGTCATGGGTTCGAGTCCTGATGGCTACGCACTTCCAATGATACCCAACAGGTTGAAACCGCAGTCCAATACTTCTCCAGGAATGTGGACGACTATCTGATTTTGAAATTGTTGCGACCAATTCTCGTTCAATTACATCAAGAATCCTTTACTCACGATTATATATATATATACCACTTTAGGATTTCTAGTAGTTTAAGCTTTATTTTCAGCTGGTTCCGTCGTCCAGTTTGGCCTTCTTGAAAGTTGTAACCTGACAATCATCTCACAATAAGCATACCATCTATCTTTCAATAAAATGGACGCAGCCCAACATTCGTAGTCGCTTATCATCCTCTGAATTACTCTGCTTCTTACATGTTTCTGTTTTCTTAGCTACTTTTTGCAACTGTTCCGCATTTCAGGTTCCTCACAAATGTACGATTTGCTCAATATGTTCCCCTTCTCCTCCGAGTCTAAACGCATGGGTATCATCGTCCGCGATCGACAAACAAACCAAATCACCTTCTACGTCAAAGGTGCTGACACAGTGATGACTTCTTTAGTCACCTACACGGACTGGTTGGAGGATGAGGCTGGCAATCTGGCTCGAGAAGGTTTACGCACCCTCGTCGTTGCGTCCCGAAATCTTACAGATGAGCAGTATGAAGAATTTGCCCAAAAGTAATTCATTACCTTTCAGTGGGATAGTGGCGTTTACAATAAAATTCATCATGAATTAACTTGTCTACACTGTTAGCATGAACCGGTAAAAGGGCTTTGTCAGTTGTTCTGATTTTCACAAACCTTTGAGATATCAAAACCGCTACATACTATAGACTTGCTACATACCAGTGATCAACTTTCTGCATATAACTCTGTGTGACGGAATGAGGCAGAATTTTCGTTGGTTTGGTGGGTTTTCTGGAGTAAAGTTTTTATTTATATTGCTGTTACGTGTTCAACCAATGCTCGCTTACTATGACCGTGAACCTGATTGGCCCTACACACACACGTAGATAAGCACGCACACACGCACTCAAGGACACACCCTAACGTTCCGTGCTCTCATGTAAACCGTTAAGTGTTCAGTACACTGTGCGCCAGACTGACGCGTCTTCTTGCTTATTCGCTACGAGCTGAAATACGTACTTGCGGTTAGAGTCCAGTTGTGATATCTGGCGACGAGGTCAACATGTCCATGACAAATACTCCACCGGTCTTCTGGTCGTGCTCTACCGACAATCCTTCCCTGGACTCGTGGCATGGATGGCGGAAAACCTTTACGGATTACTTGGAATTGCTTCCAATCTTGAATCCAGCAGTATCTCTTACTGAGAAAAACAAAGTGAAGCTCTTGAGACAGTTTCTTGGAGATGAGGGTCAAAGGTATTTCAATGCACTTCGTATTGATCAAATCCCTTCTATGATAACCGGCGCTTTGGAAACCTTCAGTGCTCTTTGGGGTGCTCGTCAGAATGTTTTTACGGCTAGATACTACTTCTCGAAACTCTGCCAGAAACCAGATGAGAGTGTGAACGAGTTCATCGCTCGTGTACTACAAGCAGCACCTGATTGTAAATACAATGAAGTCGATTCAACGAGATTTGAAGAGACCATGTTACTCCAATGTTTGATACCTGGAATCTCAGACCAGAGCACGCGGGAGAAGCTCCTTTCACAAGATGATTGTTCACTGACCTGGGAGACGGCCTGCTCGATTGCCCGGCAGAGGGAACACCTTACACAACAACTCGCAACATTTACGCTGAAGGACTCGTCAGATGAGCTGCGATTGATTAACACTACACCAAAACCAAAGCCACCCACTGGCGTCAATTTGTTTGTGTGCTATCGCTGTGGTGAGCAGCACAGTTGTCCATCCGACTGCCGGCATCAGAAGACAGTATGTCGAAGCTGCGGGAAGGTGGGCCACCTGGCGCGAGTGTGTAGATCGGTCAAGCGACGTTCAGGTGGGGCTTATCGAGGAGCAAACCCCATCAAAACTGTGGACGAGTCTGATGGTAGCGACCCTGAATTACATTCCATTTGGCTTAATTCCGTTTCTAGCATGCAGCCGGCGCCATACACTCTAGAGCTTTACATTGAAGGACAAAAGGTACAGATGGAAATCGATACAGGAGCATCCGTGACGATAATCCGGGAAAACGCTGTAAAAACGCTCCCGAACTTATCCGCTTGCAATTCTGTTCTTCGCACATACACCGGTGAACCTATACTTGTCCTTGGTAAATGCTTCGTGAAGGCACAGTATGGCGACAAAATACGCACACTTCCTGTATATGTGATCCCCGGGGATCGTCCAAATCTGCTTGGAAGAGACTGGATACGTGCTTTCCCGGATACAATGAATGTGGTAAAATTAGTCACCGAGATCTCCGGACTTGAAACATTACTTAAACAACATTCAGCTGTTTTTTCCGAGGAGCTTGGGAAGTTGAAAGAATTTCAGGCTGCGATAAAACTAAAGGAATGCGCTCGACCAAAATTCATTAAGGCGCGCACACTACCATACGCTATGAGGCCTAAAGTTGAAGAGGAACTAAACCGCCTACAGACTCAAGGTATTATTACTCCTGTACACTTTTCTGACTGGGGAACTCCAATTGTGCCAGTAACCAAACCGGACGGCTCCGTACGGATTTGTGGTGACTACAAGATAACCATAAATCAAGCATCCATGCTGGTCAGGTACCCCTTGCCACGTATTGATGACTTGTATGCAACACTAGCTGGTGGTGAAAAGTTTACCAAACTCGATCTGAGTCATGCATACTCGCAGATAGAGCTCGATGAACCTTCGAGGAAACTTACTACCATCACCACGCACATGGGACTATTTCAATATACTCGTTTACCTTTTGGCATTAATTCCGCCCCCGGAATATTTCAGAGAATTATTGACGACCTAGTGAAGGACATTCCTTTTGCGTGTGCTTATCTGGATGATATTCTTATCTCTGGACGCTCGGATACAGAGCATCTTCGAACACTCGCGGTCGTGCTCGAGCGTTTGGAGCGAAGTGGATTCAGATTGAAAAGGTCTAAATGTGAGTTCCTTTCACCTTCCGTTTGTTACCTTGGATACCGGCTTGATAAACACGGTTTACATGTTTTAAATGACAAGGTTAAACCTATTTTAGAAAGCCCAGAGCCAAAGAGTTGTGATGAACTCCGTTCGTTCTTAGGAATGCTATCTCACTATCGCCGTTTTCTGCCTAATGCATCGACGGTTCTATCGCCATTAACTGAGCTGTTACACAAAAATGCATCGTGGTGTTGGGGTTCCCGTCAAAAAATGCCTTCAATAAAGCAAAACAAGCTCTTGCTTCGCCACCAACGTTAGTCCATTATGACTCTAACAAGCCACTCATACTTCAGTGCGACGCGTCCCCTTGGGGGGTCGGGGCTGTCCTGTGCCACCGCATGGACGATGGTTCTTTACGTCCCATAGCATATGCATCGCGCACCTTACAGACGGCGGAGAAGAACTACTCACAACTGGACAGGGAAGCGCTAGCCGTTATCTTCGGAGTTAAGAGGTTTCACCAGTATTTATGGGGAAACGTTTTCGAGCTTCATACAGACCACAAACCATTGATATCCTTGTTTGGGGAAAACAAAGGTATACAACAAATGGCATCACCGAGGATGCAAAGATGGGCTATAACCTTGAGTGCTTACAGTTACAAGATTGTTTATATTACCGGCGTCAGCAACTGCACAGCTGATGCACTCAGCCGTCTGCCGATCACGGAAACTGCACATGAACACGACCCTCCGTTTGAACTGGTTAATCTAATGCAACATCTAGACACAACACCGATACGGAGTTCAACAATCCGTCAATGGACGGATCGAGACCCCGTGCTATCAATGGTGAAACGCTTTTTGAACATGGGTTGGCCTCCTGAAGGGACAGTTGAATTACAACCGTTTATGATTCGGAAGAACGAACTGAGTCTATTCGACGGCTGTGTTTTTTGGGGCTCTCGTCTAGTCCCTCCCACCAAGGCGCGTTCACAGATACTTAAAGAGCTCCATGATGCTCATCCAGGTGTGGCGAGAATGAAGGCACTAGCGAGAGGGTACTGCTGGTGGCCCAACATCGACTCAGACATAGAGAACTTACTGAAGAATTGCGATATTTGTCAGGCGTATCAGCGGAGCAAGGCGCCAGGTCCAATACACCCTTGGCGTTGGCCAGACAAGCCCTGGCAGCGTATCCACGCCGACTACTTCGGACCGATCGACGGGACCATGTTTCTTCTACTTATTGATGCACATTCTAAGTGGATTGACGTACATCCAGTTACTCAGGCGACAGCCGAATCCACCATCACTAAAATGCGCTCGTCCTTCGCTACGTTTGGCATTCCGGAAACCATTTGTACAGACAATGGTTCGCCTTTTACCAGTGCCGAATTTGGTAAATTTGTCGCCAACAACGGAATCCAACACGTTAAATCAGCCCCGTATCACCCAGCATCAAACGGATTAGCGGAGCGTGCAGTACAAACTGTGAAACAAGGCTTACTAAAGCAGCGAACGGGAACATTGCGAACAAAACTGGATCGGTTCCTATTCTCCTACCGTTCTACACCCACTGAGGCTACCGGGAAATCCCCGGCGGAATTGATGTTCGGCAGAAATCTGAGAACGAGGCTTCATTTGTTGTTCCCGAACCCGCGTGTTGAAGTACAGGAGCGTCAGAAAAAGTTTGTGTCTTCAGAGGAATCAAAGCCGGAAGTTACATTTCAGGACCATCAACCTGTTTACACCAGGTTACCGCATGAACAATGTTGGCAGCCGGCGACTGTGCTCGATTCTTCAGGAAGTCAAAACGATTTGCAGCTTCCGGACGGCCGGGTTGTTCGCCGGCACTCAGATCATGTACGCCCCAGGAGCACTGACACACCTGCCGTGAGTCAGTCACACTCGGAGATCGCAGAGCAAGCTGCAGAGCACGATGAACACAGAACAACAGGGGAAACTCAATTACGCCGATCGACCCGGATTCGCAAACCGATCGAACGTTTCCAGCCATGACTGTAACGTCAGCCAAAACAGGGAGGACTGTTACGTGTTCAACCAATGATCGCTCACTATGACCGTGAACGTGATTGGCCCTACACACACACGTAGATAAGCACGCACACACGCACTCAAGGACACACCCTAACTTTCCGTGTTCACATGTAAACCGTTAAGTGTTCAGTATACTACGTGCCAGACTGACGCGTCTTCTTGCTTATTCACTACTAGTTGAAATACGTACTTGCGGTTAGAGTCCAGCTGTGATAATATGCAGAGATTGCTGCAAAGATAAGCCGGGAGGCAGACGTTGCAGCCTCTTCTATTATAAACAGCGCTAACGCGAATAGAGGGACAAACAGTAAACAATCAACATTTGTCAGCATGTCAGGACAAACGAGTACCCTACCTTGTGGATAAACGAAAAAGGGATCTAACAATTGTACTTGGATTGATGTATACTCACATGTCCCTGAATTTACAGTCATCACATTGCGAAGTAACTTATCGGACGAGCAAGATCAATGGAACTCATTGTGCGTGCTGATGAGTATCAAAGCCAATCCCATTACCACATTACGAATTATTCCTCAACCGAACTCTCCACACTAAGGAGAACACAGAATTATTCGAGTAACAATAGAATCCTCCACCGACGTAGAAAACGTTTTGCTCTCCGCAATCACGCTAAAACACGGATCATGTGGACTACGTATCTCTCCTGATGTTCCTTGGAGAGCGCGACAATCAAAAAGAAACACCGAAGACAGACAAAGCAAGCAAGACCACCTAAACACCGTTTTCTTACATGGGGTGCCAGAACATCCTTCTAACGATGTTCATGGGACTGGAAACCACGAGTAAAAACAGTGGCGGTTCATTCGTGAAACACTTTCTTTGGATAATATTGTGGCCCTATCGCTCACCAGGATAGCTATCTCACCAAAATTATAGAGGATGGAACCTTGAATCCTACAATTTGTGGTTCAGTCAGAGCAACAAGCAAAGGATGTTTGGATCCATGGTAGAGAAATCGGAAACCTCTTTCTTTGGACTTCGGTTAAAGGTGGCAGAAGCTTTACACAGCTCAACTATTAAAGCACATGAAGCAGCAAGCGTACCGACGAATGTGCAGAAGCGTGACTTGACGACTGCTTTGTTTGATTCTGACCTGGGTCTAAACGAAAACTGGGACCCACCTTGGCCGAATCAAATTGCAAACGAGGTATCATTATCCCGACAACAAAAAAAGAGTAACTGCCGTCCTCCCATCGGTCGGTATTCTCTCACACTTGACCCCTTCACCCCCCTGTGGGCTTCTAAAAACCGAGAAACTGGCCTGCTTGTATACGAATACTCAGGGTCTTTTTAATACATTGGCCGAACTGAAAGATCGCCAAGCTACCGTG